GAAAGAGAGAATAGAAAATCCTCAACCCAGCAACACCAAGAAGTTATACACAAGGCAAATGATCCTGGAGGGACCAGGATGGACCAGATTGAAACGATTTCACGATGACGTGGGCACCCCCGAGGCAGGCCTGATTGAAGACTAATTAGAAATCACTGGATCCAATGATGTCCAAATGAAATGAAACTTATACAACGACCTAAGGCGCCTCCCGATGATTTTATATAAACTCACTGGATTTACATGAGAGGCAGTGCAGAAGGGCAGGCAGACCCGAGAGAATATGCCACCGACCTCCTCATCTGGAGAATGAGGGGTTTAGATGGGTGGTTCCACATGTTTTCAACTGTATAACTCTCGGGCCCTGAAAACAGAGCCCAGGAGAATTAAGTCTCCAATGAAAAAAGATCCAGCATCTCACTGTGAGGTTTATACTGTGCATCCGCGTGCGATCACTAGAGAAATTGATCCTCGGCAGAATCAGAGCTGGAAGGCATTTGAGAAAATCAACTGCAACTCTCTTGTTTTTCAAGATTGAAAAGGAAATCTGAGCTGAAGGGACTTGTTTTTGGTGAAAACTTGGAATCTAGCTCTTCCGCCTCTGTGATGCTGTATGACTCTCCGGCCGAGGTCCCGCCACAATCCCGGTGCCCTCATCCAATTCCCTAAGCTTCCCAAGTGGGCTCGTGTCCTCAGTGTCAGGATTCAGGAAGATGTTACAGAGCTGAGCTCACTAGAAAATTACTGTGTCCTTTAGGTGAGGTCAAGTAGAACAAGAGAGGAAGAAATCTACTCGCCCCAGGAGAGCATCATATCACACATGTAGCTCTCTTAACAAAAACCACAGTGCATTCAGACTTAAGGGCCAAAATTACTACTGCAAAAGGACGGACGGCTCAGTGTTGCAAAACCTTAGCTTCCATTCCCTGCGAAACATAAGCTGCCCTGGTGCTCATGACAGCCGCCCGGAACCTTTCCAAGTGACTGGAGATCATCTGACAGGCATCACGTTATTTTTCAGTGTTGAAGTCATTACGGATATTAGATGATTCACTCAGCCTTTCGAAAACTAGGCTCTCCTGTTGAATTGTTCCTCTGCATTTGATTAGGTCGAATCGCTGGGATGGGGCGAACACCTGACATTGTTAGCACAGTGTTGCAAATGTCAGCTCTTTGCTTGCAGGAAGATGAGGCAAGGATGCTCTTTCTCCAGTGACAGTCATAACAGAATGAGTTAATTTCAGGTATATAGTTAGGCATACCTACTAAGTACGCCTTTCTCTTTGCCCCGTCTATGCCTTTGCATAAGCTAAGAGGTTCCGCACGTGTTGTACAATGGAAACGTTATGAAATGTGCCTAGTGGTTTGAACTGATGCTGACTTGTATACCACCCGATGATGCTTTTCCCTGAATCCCAATTTAGGGAGCATGTTATTCATGTCTTCCTGGATAAGATGGAGAGGATCTGGCTCAGTTTTTCATTATTCCTATAGGATGCCTTAAGCCAAATCAAATAAGTTTCCCTTTTGGTGGTCAATTCCCATATGCTTCTACCTTTCTAGTCTTTTATGGGGCTTATAAAGGCCACATTCAAGGGACAGTCCCCTTGAGAGCCTCTCTGAAATTGAGGATACCTAATGGCCTGTCAGTGTTGACAGGACTCTGGGATGGCAAAGTTCATGAACTGAATTTTATGGTTTGTCCACTGGGTTTTTTATTTAAAGGAAGAGTGGAAACACGTAAAAAGTTGAGCTGCGCCATTGCCCAGATATTCGGCTGCCCCCTCACATAGCCTGAGTCAGGTTTGAAATTTACCTGTGTTTGGACACAAGGGCTCAAAATCCCAAATTGAGGACTTTGTCATTTACTAGTCCTGATTTTGGTTAACTGAAATCTAAAAGCATCTGCGTTTGTCCCGAGACACAGAATCCTAAAACATTTGGCTATATCTTCAGGACACGTTAAAGAAATTTACTGTGCGTTAAGAGGCACCTTCAACTCTTTTCACAGTTCTGTATCTACTTTATTAGGCTCAGATGGTTCTCCTTGTACTGAGAGATGCGAGATGTTCCCCTTTCTGATTTCATACTTGCGTTGGCATACCTTGGCAAACCTTAGTATTCACTTGGGAAAAATTGCTTCCTTTAAAAAAGAGCTTCTTTTCTTCACTAGCATGCTTTAGTTTAAAAATTATTGATTTATTTGGGCAGTGACCCTTGGGAACATTTCTTGAACTCTAAATTTAGATGTAATCTTAGACAGCTGGGTCGAGTTGAGTGGCATGCGGGGGCAGCGGGTGCGGACACACGTGTGTAGGTATGGGGTACGCGCTGTGCAACCAACCAGTACCTCACTCCCCAGGGCTGAGGTGGAAATTTTTCCTTTTCCACATCCTGGAGAACCTCCAATTATATTTACTCTGGGCACATGCTTCTGTTTTTCAGTCTCGCAATGAGTGAGGTGAATTGTAGGTAGGGCCTCGGGAAGCAAAGATGACGATGATAGGAGGCCAATCCACATTCGATAGATTAGGCAGGGTTCCCTGCAGGCCGGGTGGAAGACTCTCTCTGTAGAATTTTCTGATGTCTTCAGTTAAGTAAGTTGTAGTATTGATACGAAAGTTATGGCAGGAGCCTGATGGACCTATTATACATTTTGCAGTTGGTTAATATCTCCTGTTCACTTAGTCACGGTGTTTTCTACTCTTGGGATTCAGAAGAGTGATTCCAAAGTCCTGTCTCTGTATAAAACTCAGGGAGTGAAGTTTACAATCTCTTCTTTTTCTTTACACTGTGGTTTTTATTTTTTTACCAAGTAAAAATGTCAACACTTCCACGTTGTAAGGCAAAGATGATGGAGAGATTGTTTTCCGAAAACAAAAACTGTCCATGTTTTAAAGAACACACTTCGTATTTAACTTGTTTTTTTTTAAACTGAGGTATAGTTGGCTTACTACGTTGCGTTAATTTCTGCTGTACAGCAGAATGATTCCGTTATACATATACACACACACACACACACACACACACACACACACACACACACATATATATATATATATATATATATATATATATATATATATTCTCTTTTATATTCTTTTCCACTATGGTTGATCTCAGGACACTGAATACAAAAATCATCTGTATTATATGAAACTCTTAATTGAACTTGATGTTTCGGAATATGCCTAACATCTGGCTACAAAAATGAAATGTTATTTTCCAAACATGCTGATTTACTCTTCAGAATGCATGTGCCAGGTCTCGTTATATGGCCGAAATGGCGAGAAGGCTACATTTCGGTTAAAGGGAATGGAAAACCCCTCCCGGTTGACGGAAGTGGGGTTGACAGTCTGGGGCTGGAGCTGCTACTTAGTCACAATGTGAACTGGCGTTTTCCCATCTCTGGAGCCTCGTTGACAGCCCTCAGGACTCTCCGGGACAGTTTTGAAGACACAGAGGAAGAGTCTAAGGTTTGTATCATAATCCCTGCAACTCCACCCATTGGAGAAAGGGCACAGATAAGCCCCCTTTCGCCTGGGCCTTCAGGGAATATCTACTCAGCAACCAGCAAGAGAAGACATCAACCTCACACCGTACCTAAAGGATTTCGATGCTTCCTTTCAAACATACCATTTGACTTAATTTGGGGCAACTTAGAATTACTGCTAGTTGTAAGTACATGGTTTTGGAAATCAGTACACCTTCTAAAATTATTTCTTATTGCGCTCAGATTTTGCTCACTCAACAAGTCCTCTAGTTTTTACTAAGAAGCCCGGGATTGTCTCTAAAAGCTGCCAGCATCCAGGAACAAGGCATGATCGTCAGCAACAAGGGGGGTCCTGCTCTTGAGGCAGTCAGAGTGCAACTGCGTTGTTCCTTGACTTCTCCACGGATGCATGCTTCTCTGTCTTTGACCTCTCCCCACTTCCAGCTTCCTAGAAATACACAAAAGCTCCACTGGCCAACCCTTATCATGTTGCTCTGGCTCTCTCAATTGCACCTCTTAGCAAACTAAGACTCTGATCGTGGGTTTTCATCCAATTCGACCAGTTCGTCTCCTGTGTATATAGAACTCCAAGTTCAACACGGAATGGCAGAGTTGCCAGATTGAGCAAATACAAATTCAGTTAATGAATTTCAGCTAGACAACGAAAAATTTTTCAAGTATGTCTCGTACAATATTGACTTATACTAAAAGTATTACTCATTGTTTATCTGAAATTCACATGTATGTTGGTGTCTTCTTCAGCACTTTGGAAAGAAAACAGTACTCACTCTTCCTACAAGCGTGGCTGTAGGTGGATGCTCATCCCTTTACTGCCCATGACACTGCCGGGGACCATGGTGGCGGGCAGGGCTAGAAAGTCGAATCCGCTCATCACTTTGATCATCTAAGCAGTGAACACACTGACACCGTTTCTTTTCTTTCAAAGCCAGAAAGAGAGTTGCCCCAATTGTTCCTAACTCCAGGTGGCCATACTCATTTCTGATCCCTTTGAACACCTCAAGGGTTAACCTAGAGATTCAGTCTATGGAAACTCACACAACTAGGTAAAGACGGAGGAAAGCATGAAATGCAGTATGTACTGTTCAGCACTTACTACCTACTTACCAGATGACGGAGGTGTAGATTTTCTGGAACTGGGTACTATGTCACCCAAACTGGATGATGAATTTCCTCCTGATTTACTGGAGTAAAAGCAAAAATTTATATTACAACTGACACTTATTTCGGAGATTAAAACATTTGTAATGCTCAATAAACATGATTTACTCATTATGTTTTTACTGAACTTTAAATCTGTCTTGCCTCCAAGGAGGTAAAGAGTGATTTCCCAGTGGAGACTCCTAGAGTGCTCGACATAGCCGTGTCAAGGTCTCTGTTGCTAATTCAAGGATTAATTTGAAAAGGCCCTGAGAGAGTGGAAGAAAACTTGGGTACTTGCTGCAGTCCTCAAGTTCTCTGCCGGGATCCCAGACAGATAAGAGCAAAGATTTCCTCTGCTTCTTATTTTCAAGACTCTCGGAAGCAGGGCGCAAACCTGCAGGCTAACAGCCAAACTGCTTGTTTAATTCTTGTTGGGTTTCTGCTCCTTTGTCTTAGCTGGCTTCTTTTTTAGTGTACCAAGATGGAAAGTATTCAAGTTTTTACAAGCAACCTATTAAAAAATCCTCAACAACACAGCTATGCTAAAACCTGCCAACCTTTAAAAGACACACGAGGGAACACGAGAAAGTGTTCTACGATTTAACCCTCAGGGTGTATCTGGAACATTCCTCAAGCATGGCTAAACGTGGAGAATTCAGCTTGGTTCATGTAGGAACCATCTGAACAGCGTATACTTCAGAACTACCAAATTCTACCATTAATCCAAGACACGCTTCAGTGTCTTAGAAACTTTGGGGTTCATATTAGAACGGTGGCATTTATGTTTTTACCAGTGGCCAGCATGCTAAATAATACACCACACGGCCCCTTCACAGAGGTGGATAGAAAGGAACATTTTAAAAGAGTGACACGGAATTTCAGCAAGACAGTCTCATGGCCAAATGTTTATTGTCATAGCCAAGCCAGGGTCTAGTGGAAGGAATCTGCTACAGTGTCTATGCATCCAAGGGTGATACTTAATATTTTGTAAATATTTACATGTATTTACTATTTCATGAATATTAGTATGGAAAAATAAGTTCCACTAAAATACCAGTGACAGGCTGAATTTCATTGCTACCATTCTGGCATTTTAATGTGTAAAAAAGACAAACATCAAAAGCTTTAAGCAAGAACCAGGAGGCCTCTGTATCTTTTTAAGGGTCTTAAAAGATATCCCAGCACGTTTAATAAGGATACCAGATGATATGTAAAAGTAATAAAAAGTGGTATTTAGAGAAGCCATTTCTGGCAGTTATACAAGAATACCCATTACCAAGACCAACGCATTTTCTTCCACAAGTTCTTTTTTTTTCTTTTTTTAAACTGCTAAGTCTAATTCCAGTTCAAACTTGGGTTTGTTTTACATTCTCTTCGAATTTCCGTAACAGTCAAAGTATTATTTGAATTGTGTAAAATTGTGACAAACATTGCAAAGAGTTAAAATGTTCAGAATGCAAATTTGACCTTCATGTTTAATTCTATAAAAATGCTATGTTCTTGAGCTGTTCTCCAATTCTACTGCCTTTGATTTCTGCTGATTTTTTTTATAACTTACACATCTGAGTTTTATAATACTGCTGAATTCTAGTTATGTCCTCAAAACGTTAAGTGTATTTAAAATGTTCGGAGACAAATGTAAAAACCTCTGAAAACAGGAAGAAGTATTTTCACCTACTTAGGCAAAAGCTTAGGTAAAGAGACAGGACAAAATAAAATCCAGAAAATCAAAGGAAAATGAATATGGTTATAGGAAACGTAAACGAGTTCCTTAGAACAGGTATGTACTCAAATACAGATAATTTATAGTTCTTTAAGGAAAAAATGCAATAGCAAAACAACACAGCTAATACAGTAAATAATAACAGATGGCAATAATAATAACGATTTGTTCTGTGCTTGCTTGGTCAGGCCCTGGTTGCACGATTCCGCAGCACACAGGCCTCTGAGGTCAAGCTACAGACAGACTTGATTTTGTTTACATCCTGATTCTACCTTCCTTGCTGTGCAACCTTGGTCAAGTTCCCTAAATTCTCTTAGCCTGTCTCCTCATCTGCGAAGAGGAGGCCCAAATACCTACCATTCCTGTAGGTTCTTATAAAGCTGAGCTGATCGCTAAAGGCTAGACCAGGGATCCCCAGCTGGGAGGCAAAGGAAACCCTGCCTTCTTAACAAGCTGGCAAAAAGGTCTCCCATCCTACTCCTTGAGTAGTTTTCCTTTCTCAGTTTGTATATGAAGAAGCAGAGAAAGATTTTATTAACTAGTATTAAGAAACCATTATCAATACAGAGAATAGAAAAAGCTACAATAAAGCCAATACAAGACCAGAAATCAAATAAATGGTATCAGGTCTTCAACGTCCTACAAGAAAAATGCCCAAGCTTTGTATATCTACCCGCATCTACTTTTATATGACTAAATGCATTCACAATCTGAGGGTCCCCAATAACCCAGGGATCAATAAAAGTCAAATATGGGCTAGAGGTCTTGAAAAAGGGAAGAATCCATCTGAACTAAAAGAGCCTGAGAGTTATAAAATACTAGTGAAAGAAGATGGATGTTCCAAACCACAAAGCATCTTCTATTTGACTTGTTTGTGGGCACTTGGAAAAATTCTTGCTGACACTGATATATGGTCATTGACAAAGGATTTTGCATGACTATGGAAAAAAATCAGATGTAAGCTTCAGAAAACAGAAGCCTAGCTATTCACATTAAAGAAAAGACCTGCTAGTAACACATCCTTTCACCGGGAGAAGCAAACCATGTTCTTGGACTTGTCTGCAGGGGGCTCAATTTAAAATTCACTCCATATTTGAGGAGCCCTTCTAATGATTCTAGTGAGGGGCAAACAGTCTCAAGAATCCTAGGAAAAGAATCATTTGGCCCCAGCCTATTACATAACTCATCTAATTGCTATCTGCAATGACAATTTACTGAGTTTCCCTTTTAGTGTTGAGCAGTGGGCAGAACTGAAAATTGAGTTTCTTAAGTGAAAATGAAATTAAAAGACCACGAGAGCCGCTCTTTGCTGAAATCTGAGATGGTCATTTCTGAAACGTCTTCTGGCCATGCCAGGCAGCTGTGGACACTGGGATTAGTCACCAGGATTGCTCGATGCCAGAGTATGTTCACCAAAAGATTAAACTTCAGAATTTCCTCTTCACTGAAGCCTGAATTTAATACTCTATGACCTTAGCTCTTTTCATTCATGATAATACTTAATTTGACTCTCTCCAGAAGGGGATGAAAATGAGAGGCTGGATGAAGTTTTTTAAATGCAGGATTTGTGATGCTCTCACCAGTCTGCTTTGTAACACATAATAAAGATTGTAGAATACAGCAACTGACAGTACACGAATGATAGTACAGTCTGAACTCTGACACAAACACTTGATATTTTTCTCCTACCTGGAGTAGAATTTCCCTTGCTTGGCTCTCTGTTCATGCTGTAGCCTCATATTTTCTAGCTTGACTGGGCTTGGAATGAATCCGATTTCACAGCCTTCTTTAACCAATCGCCCTATCCACCAGTCATTGTTAAATTTCTAAACGGAAAATCAGAATTGTCAAAATCAGTGCACAGAAGTTAAACAAATCTTCACATCCTTTTTCTTCCCCATTGACCATTTTCACTGAAGATAAGTATTATGGCAATTACAGCGAACTCAAATATCGCAAGTCAAGAAACCCTGTTCACGTGTTGAGTATGCTAAGAGCAAAGTATTTTCCGGGAGCTCAACAATCCATCTCCCGCTTGGCTCTGCCTTCACTTTCCTGGCCTTGAGACTTTCCTGAATTCCACTGCAGCTGCTGGCACCATGAGTAGGATAAACTCTTCTTGTTCAAAGATTAACAGGTCTTCCTGACAAGAGACTAGCAGGAACTAGGGAGTGTTACAGAGGTCTTCCTCTTACATAATCAGATTAATTAGAAGTATTAAGAGTGAGTGATAAATATTGACATCGACATGAAATATTTGATGTCAGAGCAAAGCAAAATTTACCTTTGTGCAAACAGGTGTATAATGACCACAGTCCGGCGTTCACAAATGACTTCTCCACTTATGTGGATGTTGGCGATTCCTCTCTTGTGCCTGGACTATCTATCCTAAATCTTTAGGATACGGTTTGATGTCTCTCAGCTGAATAGTACTTTTCAAGCCCGTTCTCGAACACTTCAAAGAAGAATATCCACTCTGTTTTTCTTTTCCTTCTATCTCTAAGCATCAGCCCTTGGGGATGAGAGCCTAGATTCATCTAACTTCCTGTTGTAAAGTGAGATTCTAGGCATGCCATACTTCAGAAATTATTTTCTGTCTTCCCTTCCTGGCCAAATAGAAATAACAGCTCTTTTGAAAAGTTAAAGAAACGGCAGGCTCTACAGTCTCTCGTCTCTTTTCATTGGCAGTTATCACCGCTTGCTCACAGCCTTTAGTGCCTGAGCAGTTAAACCGACATATGCTCCATCCTATATATGATAGTTTGCCTCTGCTAATCCCAAACTCCCATTCCTTCCCTCCCCTACTCCCTCTCCAAGAATATTACAAAGAATATATACGTGTGTATAACGGAATCACTTTGCTGTATGGAAGAAATTAACACAACGTCGCAAATCAACTATACCTCAATAAAAAAAAAAAAAATCCTTAGAACCGTAAAAAAGTTTTTCACAAATGCTCCCTAGGAGAGACCGTCCCCCAGATGGAAGTGCTCCAACTGTAAATTCCTGCAGGCTCAAGAAAACCTCAGACTCACACACCTAGAACAGGTAAGGGGAATTTCTGGCCATTTCATACAGTGTTCTGCAAAACAGGCATTTGATAAATGTTGACTCAAAATAAACCTTAATTAAGAGTGAATTTTTCCAATTTACAGATTGAGTCACTGTTAACAAAAAGTGGAGGCTTTTGGCATGGTGGAAAAGGGATGTTCCCTATATCTGTTTCTTGCCTTGTTGGCTGTGATTGCATCCATTCCCTTTTCCCCTGCAGAAATTTACCAACAAAGAAGGAGAATGGGCAAAAGTGGCCTGAGTTTAGACCCTGCTAGCAGAGAGGAGAGATCATGAATTCTAGATACTATTATTAAACCCCCCCCAGACGGTTAAATTTGGGACACGAGGGGAAAATGACACACGGTCAAGGTTAAACCTTAACACAGAAAGTACAGGCTAAGTATAAAAAAAGGATCATCTACCCCAGTGGTTCTCAATTTCTGGGTCACAGGGCCCAGGGGAGCCTTGAGGTTATTCCAAGAGGCCTGTGACTTTTTTCTTCTTTAAAAAGGTTATATTTATATTAGAAAAGCTTGAGAGGCACTGATTTCACGTGTATGTTATCCAACCGCAGCTACACGCCATGCTATTTCACAGCAATGAGAAGTAAGAAATGATGCTTCAAGGTAAAAAAATCATGTGGATAGAAATTCCAGTTATTCTCCTTACCTCCTTAACATGCAGAAAATCTTTTGCTTCGAATGAGATGGCCATGCCTGGCACTGGGACGTCGTCTTCATGGGCTGCACTGTAGCTGACATTTGTCCGGACTGCAAATGCAACGGGCTTTGTCTAAAATGGGAAAAGGAAGGGAGAAAAAAATTTAAAAAAAGAAAAAACAGCGTTCCCTCTCTTTCCCCCTCAAAGTACAAACATACACTGAATAACTGTCGTCACTGTTGTTGCTTTTCCCAACTTTGGTTCTTTGTCACAAAACAGCCTATTAGTATTTACAAACCTTCGAGCGCTCAGCTATATAGTACCCATTTCCGAACTAGAAAAAGGCCACTGGGCTCTTTGAAAGCATTACAAGTAATGAAGGTGAAGATGAACTACTGAAATATGAGTTTACAACATAATAGCTTGTAGCAAATGGAAATCAGGAAAAATACACAGGATTGCAAGGCCCAGTTCTTGCGTTTCAGTGAAAAAGACTTAGCCACTGCCATCTCCACCCCAAACATGTACTTTAATTAATAATAAATGGCATAATTCCAAAAGGTACAATGTTTTGGATGAAGAAAGAATATATCTTACGACTACAAACGCTGTATTCATGGCTGCCGAGCATCATGAAAGCAATGACCTTTTATTCTATTATTTTTCCTCCTTGAGTTCACTCAGCCACTAAAGATGATAACATTCATTAAGCTATCCTTCATTATTTGATGCTTTGCAAATATACAGATACATATTTGTCCTCTATCTAGGCAACACCTGTTTAATCACAAGGTGAAAAAAACAGGCAAACTCAGAAACGGTGAAAAGAGGTATTGCTCTAACTGGCATTGTGTTTCTTTTGCATTGTGGGCATGTGGATTTCTTCTGGCAGGTTCTTCCTATTCAAAGAGCTCTTCATTGGGACTGCTCATGAAGGACAAGAGGGAATTAGAACAGAAAGAACCCATCTTCACTTCCGAATCTTCAGAGTTAATCCATTCTAGCTGACTACTGTCTGGGTTGAGGACTGAGCTCATAAGACCCACGGAGTTACTCAGATCCATCCACAATATGCAGAGTGGGAAAGGAGGACCCAGTTCTAGACATGGGCACAGCAGACAGGAAGTGGGCTGAAGACATGAAATGCAATTCTTGGCATCCCTTACGATTTTTTATTAAAAATGTTAAGAGGGGCTGCTCCTCATATGGAAATACAAAACTTAAAAAAACAGAAATAAAAGTTGCCTGCAGTTCTACCACTGAAACACAATTCTTGATTGTGTGACAGTATTTCCATTTTTTCCTGAAATTAAAAGAAAAATTTTCATTCCCATAGGTATAATCATAATATTTTACCCAATTTTTACCCAATTCTTAACATAGTTTTTCAGGTGAATTAAATTTTTATTTATTTTTTTTAGGGCATCGTTCTCTATTTTTAACAAAAATAACTGAGGGCATATTTTGAAGAGAGGGCAGAGCCACTTATCACGCATCTGGTTTTAACAGATGATAGACTTTCAAAAATCTACCATTTAGAAAATTACCTCAAACATTCAACACTTTCTTTTGACGTCAGGGTTTAAAATTTTTTTCACTATGATAAATATTCTGCTTTGAAAAATCTCTGTATGAAAAGCCTCTTTCTATTTAGAATTCTTTCCTTGGGACACATTCCCAGAGGTAGCATGAGCAAGCCATGGGTTATCAAGACCTTTGAAAATTCAGTTCCAAACTACTGTCCAGATGGGCTGTACCATTTTAAACTGCAAGCAGCAGTATAGGTTGGTGCCTTTTTCCATAAGATGCAGTCTTCATCAGACTCAGTTTTACTACTAGAAATAGCATTTTCTTGAGTATATTGATCCATTATTCAAGAGAGTTTCTGATCCCAAAAATATAAATCCAAGACTTTTTCTATGACATGATCTCTCGTCTCTCTCAGGAACCTTTTAAAAAATTTTAAAAAGATACAGACTTTAAGTGTAGCCTATATATATATATGCATATATATGCATATATATATGTGTGTATATATATATATATATATATATATTTAAACCACTGGAAGACATAAATTTTACATGTACAACTCTACAGAGTATCCCATGAAAATCTCTTGTCTTTTATCCAAAGACCAACTTTTCAGACACTAGAGTAGGAAGAGGGAACAGTGAGAAAAAAAAAATAAAGGGGTGGTAAAGGTTAGCCTATAATAAGCTGGGCCACAGATAATGATTTTATGTTCTTAGATTAAGACTTCAGTTCAGAATGTGGAATTCCCTTCTTGGCTCACCTCCTACAATCAACCATGCTCCCCTTAGACAAGGAGCTTCATACAGGAATCGGCTTTACAGAGCATACGGGTAGGAGAGAAGAAAGCAGAACCCTGTCCCTCAATGTCTTTCCTTCAGGAACTATATTTCTAACTTAGAATGCAGAATAGACAGAGTGGAGGGAAGATAAGAAGGCTTATCAGCTTGAGAGAAAGAGGCAGGATGCTGACCAGAGGGGATCAATGGACGACGTCATTTTTGATTCACCGAACTCACTTCAGTTCCATCTAGCTTAAGCAGCACATCTATGATATGGAAGATATTATCTACATCAATTCCACTCATGTGGGTTCAAGAACAGAGGGTTTTAGATGAACCTGGATTTGAGTGTTGATTTATTTACAGGGAGTGTAGTCTGAACAAATTCCCTTAATCTCATGGAGTGTGTTTCCAAGGCTAGGCTACTGTTTGGTACAAAGAGTGAGCTCAGTACATGAGCATTTTCTCTAGACTAAAAGAACGACCATACATACATGAATGTTTCCCAATAGTCACTCATCTATGAAGGCTCAGCACCAGTGGTTTCCTTTGTGCTCTGCACTGTAACCCACCTCACACCAAACTAGTTAACACAGGTTAATGCCTGCCATGAGATGCATGCTAAACTACTCTTATATTCAATATATAGCCAAGAGTTCTCTCCAGCATGGACTTCCACATTCTCTCAGGTATGAGAAATGGTAAGGTTTCCCATATTCATTTTGCTTATAGGATCCTCTCTACTTGCTGTGTCCGATCTGTCTAGTTTTGATTTTCTTTGTTAGTCCTCAGACACAGAGGCTTCTTTTTCTTTGAAACCAACCTTAAGTCCCAAGGGAACATCCCTCATAGACTCGTTGAATTTTTAATCCCATGAAACTATTTTTCATCAAACGTATCCTGATTTAAGGTGACATCTGCGTTTTTGGCCAACTCAGTACACTCAAGGTCTTCATAGGACTTTTTCCTGCCGTCATTCAGGGCTCTCCCCTGTGGCTGCCCCACTGGCTCACTTTCGGTCTGGAAGCCTGCCGCACTGTTTTGGTTTTCCAGTATCACTTCTCTAATCAGGGCCCTGGGACCACTCCCCTCTCATGTCGTCCGTCATAACAATTTGTGACTCTCACGGATGCTCGGGGCATTTATTTTTTGAGGCCAGTGGCCATTTACTCTCTCTTTTTTTCTTTTTGCTCCCTTATTAAGATAAAGCAAAGTCCTGAGAAGCAAGAACAAATAAGAGCTCAGAAACCTTGGGTCCTTACAGAGGCCTCACGGGAACACCAGGTCAGGGTGGACCGTGGTGACTGACCAGAGCTCTAACACGTGCCGGGACCCAGAAGGTGTTCTGGGCACTGAGGGAAGAGAAGTTGGTCCAGACCCCAGGACTGGAAGTAACCGCGAGCTCCAAGCAGTGGGTCCTGCCCCAGGTCATAGGTCCCCCCCCCCCTTCAAGGGGTCCTTTTTCCACCCTTTAAAACTCCAGGGCTTCCCAGGTTTGTCTGAAAGGCCTGATCATGGCTGGAGGGGAAGAAAGGCAGAAACCGTTAATGTAAAGATGACTCGCAGCCCTAGGCAGGGTCCCATCAGGCCTGACTACAGTGAATGGTACTTAGATCCAAATTCAGATTCAGATTTAGATTCATCCGACTCCACAGAATCATTAGGGTCCCGAGGAGACAATGTGACCCCCTTAATTCCACTGTCTTTCTTTTCAGTCGACTCCCTTCATATCCTGGGAACTTTATTCTCAGGCCAGTGCTCTAGCCGGAGTCTATTTTGCTCTCTCCTTCTACCTGGGCTCCTGGCTAACTTGTCTTGTAGCCGCGGAGGACCGGATACGTGACGGAGAGGCACACAATCCTATCAGCCTTTGCTTCTCCCTCTCCTGTGCCAACGAAAAAGGGAACAGATTGTTTCTCTGCTTTTTCTGGTACCTCCCATCCAGTATACGCTACGTAGCCTCAGGGTGGTTGGTAAACCACCTACCTGTACTTGGTAGTCTACCATTTGACACAGAATTAAACGTTCACTGCCACTTAGCTTGTAGACTCAAGTGCCAATAAATACCAACTTATAGAAGAGAAGCATCTCGTTATCCGGACAGTCATGCAAAAGTGCTTTAAAAACTCTAAGGCTGTGTCATTTCACCCTGGTGTCTGCAGTCTGTTTTCAAGTAACATTTCAGAAGAAGGCAATGAGTGAGTGACACAGGTGTGTCATGGGACCACTGTGTCATGGAACAGCAGAGTGACGATGACCAAAGACATTCTCACTTTCCTCTTCCAGGTCCTTCTTTGTCTTGGACATGGCACGATTTATGATGAAATGATAAAAGCTACTACTTTGGATGCCTGTGAAGTGCCGTGCTGGGTATTATGCACAGATTTTTGCATTTAATTTAATCCCAGCAACAACCATTCCTCCCAGATGAGGAAACCGAGGTTCAGAAAAACTTCTCCAGGGCCACAAGCAATGGAGGTGATATTCAAATCCGACTATCTCATCTGAAAGCCTGAGTTCTTTCTGCAGTCCTCGCCTGCTTTTCATTCAAAGGGGTACATGGATGGCAATTCTTGAGCATTTAGATGTCTGTGTGAAATTTGTGAATACCGGAAAGTAATAATTTACAAAATTCTACAAATTGTTTGGTACCAAAAAAAGGTAAAAATGTAGGCCTAAGTCTGCCTTGTAGCCTAATTTAGTCCATTTTTTCAAATGTAAAACAGTCAACAAGGGCTTCCCTGGTGGCGCAGTGGTTGAGAGTCCGCCTGCCGATGCAGGGGATGCAGGTTCGTGCCCCAGTCAGGGAAGATCCCA